ATTACTGTAAACCCGCCAATGAGTTGAGTAACGAACCATTCACCAACTTGTTACCGTAAATCCGTCAAGCGCTGAACGCCTGTCGGAATGGCGGATCTATCAGTTGAATGTAGGACGTAATGTCTGGTCGAGGCGAGGAATCTGTATCATCTCCCAACTGAATAGGTTTGATTTACACATGGGACTTAAACTGTCATCATATCGTATCACTGTCATCAAGTGACTATTGATGGTCTGGCTCTACACGGTTGTGTCTACGGGTGCCCAAAAGTTAGCATCAAAGACACTTGACCACAGGCCATTTGTCGGCCGGCTGTTTGTCCAAATCAGACGATTGCCAGTATAGGAGGACATATGGTCAATTGACCATTGCACGGTTGCCCCACAAAATATATAGATCAATGTGTTTATTGTATAAAATAGGTTGTTGTTGTTTGTTTGTTTTTTATTATTATTATTGTTTTTGTTGTTGTTTGTGTGTGTGTGTGTGTTTTGCTAGTGATAATCTAAGATCATTTTAATAGAAATGTAGATAAATAAATGTTAATTGATTACTGGCAATTTCGAGCAATCATTCCTTCGGGACATCGTTAATTCGGGAAATTAGCTTTAACGCGATCGTTTTCAGGCTATGGCTGTTTGTTTATTTGTCATAGGCCCTTTTTGAACCTTTGTATCTAGTGTATTTGTACTTCTATACTTGTATAATGTCCCATATAAAGTGCGCTGTCCTGTGTTTGCGCATTAGTTCTATACACATAGCACGCATGATTTTCTAAAACACATGTTATAATCTTGTATACGTCTTTTAACACAAAACGTATTTTGTCATACGCTTTGGCTCTGTTGAAGGAATGATGCTTTTGCAACTAATGATATTCGTATACGTGTCTTTGCTGTCTACTTATCACAATATCTATATTTATATACAGTATACGTATGTCTTTAAACGTGTCTCTCTACTTGTCTCTACTTTCTACTTGTATCTGAAAGCTCTACTTTCTACTTGTATCTGACAGAGGCCCTGGAGAAGCAGAGACAGATGTACGAGCGACAGATGCAGATGTTACGTAACCAGCTCATGTCGCCCGGCACCCCCTCCTTCCCCCTGCAACTCTTTGATGCCAGCAAGCTGACGCCCACGGGGTCACAGAACAGCATCCAGAAGAAATATCAGCAGTGGGCCCAGGAGAGGTCAGTATACAGGGGGGGGTGGGGTCTGGGGGCTCTACTCTGGGGGGAGGGGAGGGGTCATTATACAAGTGTGTGAACAGGTCTTATTTGGGGGAGATTTTAGTCTAAAAAAAGAACAATTTAATGGTTCAAGTGTACTCTGAAGGAGGTGGGGAGGGTTCACAAGATATATATATATATATATATATATATATATATATATATATATATATATATATATATATATATATATATATATATATATATATATATATATATAATACGAATGGCGTGGTGGGTCTACTAAGGGGGTGGGACCCAGTTGAGGTATACAGACAGGGTGTCAGATCTACTTGAGAGGGGGGTGGGCGGTTTGGAGAGGTCAGTATACAGGTGGGTGGTCTACTCCGTGGGGTCCTTGAATAAGTCATAACCTAGGTGGGGTGGGGTCTACTACAGGGGTGGTCCCAGGTGAGGTGTACATGTAGGGTATTGGATCTACTCGGGGGGGGGGGGGGGTGGAAAGGTCAATATACCGTTTATGTTGAAAAAAACATGATACTGATGTTGTAAGTTTAGCTGTATCAACACACTTATATATCGGTCAGTATGTTTGATTAATGTTTAACGGAGACGATGATTGTGTGATAGGGACGGTATGTGTATATTGGTGTTAGAAACCACCATAACATTTTCTCTAATAGGCGTTTACAATAAAAACCTATACATAGTGAGTACGTGTCCATACAGTGTAGACGAGCAACTTTACACCTAGTTTATACACGCCATTGTCCATACACTGGACGGGTCACTTTAGCCTAGTTTAGACACGCCATTGTCCATACACTGGACGGGTCACTTTAGGCTAGTTTAGACACACCATTGTCCATACACTGGACGGGTCACTTTAGCCTAGTTTAGACACGCCATTGTCCATACACTGGACGGGTCACTTTAGCCTAGTTTATACACACCATTGTCCATACACTGGACGGGTCACTTTAGCCTAGTTTATACACACCATTGTCCATACACTGGACGGGCCGCTTTAGCATAGTTTATACACACCATTGTCCATACTCTGTACTGGCCACTTCAGCCTAGTTTATACACACCATTTTCCATACTCTGTACTGGCCACTTTAGCCTAGTTTATACACGCCATTGTCCATACACTGGACGGGCCGCTTTAGCCTAGTTTATACACGCCATTGTCCATACACTGGACGGGTCACTTTTGCCTAGTTTAGACACGCCATTGTCCATACACTGGACGGGTCACTTTTGCCTAGTTTAGACACGCCATTGTCCATACACTGGACGGGTCACTTTAGCCTAGTTTAGAAACGCCATTGTCCATACACTGGACGGGTCACTTTAGCCTAGTTTAGACACGCCATTGGCCATACACTGGACGGGTCACTTTAGCCTAGTTTAGAAACGCCATTGTCCATACACTGGACGGGTCACTTTAGCCTAGTTTAGACACGCCATTGTCCATACACTGGACGGGCCACTTTGGCCTAGTTTATACACACCAATGATCCACAAATCTCAAGTGTTTCAAGATTCTTAACGGTTAATTTTTGTTGAAGGCTCGCCATCCTCGCTTCACTGACCCAATCAATTCCGTCATTAAGTGTTTCACGATTGAGGACATTCTAGCCATCACTTAATCAACATCAGCCCGGCTTATTTATGTTTACAATTACACGCGCCGTTGAACGCAGGTTTAATTACGATATGTAAATTGACTTGACAAAAATGCGCAGGTTATTTATAATGTGAACTTCAGTGTTGGTTGACGATGTTGTCATTGAAATAAGAGGGGATATGGTCTTACAAGTTAGCTGAGTTAATTTTGAAATAGTTTCTGGGGTTGGGGAGGGGGGGGGGGGGCGGATGTTCCATTCATATTTTACAAATTACTGCTAAATTACAATATTAGGGGAGGGGAGTATTCCGTTCATATTTTACTAATTTCTGCCAAATTATATAATTTCAATCCCCTTTTTTTAAAAAATAGGGACATAAAGAATAATATAATTGTGGAGTTTTTACAAATAGTTACAAAAACTGTTGAATATAAAAGTGAAAGCACATGATTAAATTTTAAGTTTTTATTATCTCACGGGCAGTTTCAAAGAGGCTGAATCATATGAGTTAAATGTGGGGTTATTTGAAAGAGAATTATTTATGGTACCGGAATTAATTAGATCTAATTAAACGAATGTTAGTATTTGACGTAATAGGTTCTAACAAACAGAATTAAAGTAACTGATTTAATAAGATATTTCTAGCAAAGAGAATTATAGAAGCCCTACCTGAATTAATAAGACGGTACTAACAAAGAGAATTACAGTACCTGACGTAATAAGACGGTACTAACAAAGAGAATTACAGTACCTGACTTAATAAGACGGTACTAACAAAGAGAATAACAGTACCTGACTTAATAAGACGGTACTAACAAAGAGAATAACAGTACCGGACTTAATAAGACGGTACTAACAAAGAGAATTATAGTACCTGACTTAATAAGACAGTACTATCAAATAGAATTATAGTACCTGACTTAATAAGACGGTACTAACAAAGAGAATTACCTGACCAAAGACGGTACTAACAAAGAGAATTACAGTACCTGGTGTAATAAGACGGTACTAACAAGAGAATTATAGTACCTGACCTAATAAGACGGTACTAACAAAGAGAATAACAGTACCTGACTTAATAAGACGGTACCAACAAAGAGAATTACCGTACCTGACCTAATAAGACGGTACTAACAAAGAGAATTACAGTACCTGACTTAATAAGACGGTACTAACAAAGAGAATAACAGTACCTGACTTAATAAGACGGTACTAACAAAGAGAATAACAGTACCGGACTTAATAAGACGGTACTAACAAAGAGAATTATAGTACCTGACTTAATAAGACAGTACTATCAAATAGAATTATAGTACCTGACTTAATAAGACGGTACTAACAAAGAGAATTACCTGACCAAAGACGGTACTAACAAAGAGAATTACAGTACCTGGTGTAATAAGACGGTACTAACAAGAGAATTATAGTACCTGACCTAATAAGACGGTACTAACAAAGAGAATAACAGTACCTGACTTAATAAGACGGTACCAACAAAGAGAATTACCGTACCTGACCTAATAAGACGGTACTAACAAAGAGAATTACCGTACCTGACCTAATAAGACGGTACTAACAAAGAGAACTACCTGACTAAATAAGACGGTACTAACAAAGAAAATTATAGTACCTGACTTAATAAGACGGTACTAACAAAGAGAATTACCTGACTTAATAAAACGGTAGTAACAAAGAGAATTACAGTACCTGAATTAATAAGACGGTACTAACAAAGAGAATTATAGTACCTAAATTAATAAGACGGTACTAACAAAGAGAATTACAGTACTTCACTTAATAAGAGGTACTAACAAAGAGATCTATAGTACCTGACCTAATAAGACGGTACTAACAAAGAGAAGTTGAATCACACAACCGGTCGCCTGGCACCCCGCCACGACCAGAAGACCGGATCAATAGCCGGACCCGTGTATTCTCCGGCCCCGTAGATTGACTAGGATCTACTGTTACACTGTAAACCACACAAGGTCCTCTCCCAGACGGGGCCGTACCCTGCATTTACATTCACATCACTACATTCTAATGCCATTGGTCGCGTTCAGATCACGTGACTCTGGGAACGGCTTCTATACAAGAGGCATTAGCTTACAGGAGGGGGGGGGGTAGTCATTCATACAAGAAACTTGGAGCAGACAGTCTTGGTCAGCAGGACAGTGGGAATGGTCAGTTCATGCTAGGAGGGGTGGGAAATGGTCAGTTCATGCTAGGAGGGGTGGGAATGGTCAGTTCATGCTAGGGGGGTGGGAATGGTCAGTTCATGCTAGGGGGGTGGGAATGGTCAGTTCATGCTAGGGGGGGTGGGGAATGGTCAGTTCATGCTAGGGGGGTGGGAATGGTCAGTTCATGCTAGGGGGGTGGGAATGGTCAGTTCATGCTAGGACGGGTGGGCAATGGTCAGTTCATGCTAGGGGGGTGGGAATGGTCAGTTCATGCTAGGACGGGTGGGCAATGGTCAGTTCATGCTAGGGGGGTGGGAATGGTCAGTTCATGCTAGGACGGGTGGGCAATGGTCAGTTCATGCTAGGGGGGTGGGAATGGTCAGTTCATGCTAGGACGGGTGGGCAATGGTCAGTTCATGCTAGGGGGGTGGGAATGGTCAGTTCATGCTAGGGGGGTGGGAATGGTCAGTTCATGCTAGGGGGGTGGGAATGGTCAGTTCATGCTAGGGGGGTGGGAATGGTCAGTTCATGCTAGGGGGTGGGAATGGTCAGTTCATGCTAGGGGGGTGGGAATGGTCAGTTCATGCTAGGAGGGGTGGGAATGGTCAGTTCATGCTAGGGGGGTGGGAATGGTCAGTTCATGCTAGGGGGGTGGGAATGGTCAGTTCATGCTAGGACGGGTGGGCAATGGTCAGTTCATGCTAGGGGGGTGGGAATGGTCAGTTCATGCTAGGGGGGTGGGAATGGTCAGTTCATGCTAGGGGGGTGGGAATGGTCAGTTCATGCTAGGGGGGTGGGAATGGTCAGTTCATGCTAGGGGGGTGGGAATGGTCAGTTCATGCTAGGAAGGGGTTGGGGATTGTAGTAAGTTAAGAAAATGACAGAAGTACGCAGAGGGAATGGTGAGCCTATATAGATATAGTGGCGAAGGGCAAAAGACCGACATGTTGAAAAGGGCCGACAGACTGTAAGGCCGACATCAAAATGACAAACATCCGAAAGTCTTTGAGTTCGGATCTACGACTGGAGACCGTGACGTCACTGAGTTTGAACACTTTTCTTATCATAACCCAAGGTCATAGAAACAGGTGAATTCGAATTCATCTGTCACATGGACCGCTAAAGGGTAATTTGACTTATTCAATTGAGGTAGCTGATGACCACTTTAAAAATATTTAAACCTGAG